ACCTTTTAGTTATTAAAGATTTATGACAACATAACAATAAATGCAGTGCATAAAATTGAATGAATCATGATCAGTGGTCAACCAGATGTGCAGCAAGTGGCGTAAACCGCATTCGCATATATATGGCTCAGCAACCTTAAAAACAAACAAGATTGTCGCGTTTAAAGACGAAATCGAGGCTCGCAAGTAACAAGTACCTTGCCTCCACAATACCAACAGCCCGCCGCTAACAACATGCCCAAACTACTAACGCACGGTTTGGGAACGTCAATATTACAGTGCTTCACGCGCTTTATCTTCCTCTACTTGTCTTGCTGCTAAAGCGTGTTTAAACAGATAATACTGGAAAACAGGTACAACAAGTTGGCGGCCGGACGAAGGCACACGTTCAGCGCCGCGAGAGTGGCCTCTCAAGTGAGAGCTGAGAATTCGTGACAGTTTTGAGCGGGGCGACGTTGTAGCTGACTAGTCTGCTAGCGTGGCTGCGATTGGCCAAAAGGCCAGACTGACACTGGTGTGAGTGAGCTTGTTTATCGGCTGACAATGTAGTGGCCGACACATACTCGATTTTTTCAAGCACTCAGAAGTAAGTTTTCGCTGAACTAAGTCGTCAGAATCTATGTCAAACATTCTCGGACGAATAGAGCAAGAAATAGGATTTAAAAATTTTTAAAAAACATGGGTTACGAGAAATAAGCAGATTGAGTCACGACGAGGAGACGTAACAATACTAGGCGGAAGGTCATTATGCATACAACCGGTGCGCCTTGATTTACTGATGTACCATATATTCGTAGGATTAGCGGTGTTACATACTTCAAAGGATGATGAAATGTTTAGCGACAAACTTTAATCGTTGGGAAGAAAGGCGGATGAGAAGGAGTACCACCAACTCCAAGTAAACGCAATAGCACATGCTCCATCCTCGGTACATTTTGGCGACTGACTGCAATCCGACTAAACATCCCTGTAAGAGTTATGGTGCAAAATACGTGTTCAAGCAATAGGTGCAGCTTATAAACGGCCGCAACCAGAGTAGGGTGACTACACTTTCGATAAGTCAGTTTTGGCTGAAAAGCACGATATAAATCAGTCAGGTCAGTCTACCTTTCAATTAATTGTATATAAGTACGCATGAACACATGATTTTTGTCATGTAACCTTTGGACCTTTGCTCTTTAACATTGCCCGAATGTTTGAAGTGTCTGTATGAACAGACAGACGTTTTCCCAGACTATTTTCTCAGACATGAGCATGTCTGCAGTTTATGTTATGGTCGTTCTGATTGCAAAACGCTAAAGCGTATGCCTTAGTTGTGCCTGATGCGTAGCTCGGGATGAATAAAACCACTGTTTTGTCAATCCGTTTCCTAAATCTCAAATTGTTAAACGGATTGGCCCGTATATGTTGCAATTATCTCATATGAACATGAAGGCTATTGACAGGTGCCTCTCATGAAGCGTCTACTAATTAATGGATTGATTTGTCCTTGGGCTATAAATTATTGTGTAAGATGTGGTTATGTATCTCCAACTAATGGACGCAATACTGTTTGGATTTGGGGTTAGGGTAAGGGTTATGGTTAGGGGTTATTGTTAGGGGTCAGGCTCAGAGGTTATAGCTAAGTGCTTAATTTAAAGCTATGTGCTAAAAATAGGGGTTATATGTAAGTATTATAATAAGGGGCTATGGTAACTATTTCTCAACCACCCAATGTACAACCGCGCATTCTCAAAAGCTTCCCTTTTACGTACACCTACTTGACCTCATCGCCTGTTGGTTCCCCCTCCTACCTACTTAAACCCCGTATTACCACCGTACACGTATTACAGGTGCCTGGGGTTTGTTTACCTCAGGTGCGGCTACATAACCACATCTGACCAAATATTGCTGAAATGCGGTTCGCCGTCCTCTGTCCTAGTGAATACGCTGATACCGTTGCCAAAAATATTCTAATGGTACATAAATAGTCCAGTGCGCGTCCACGGTTTTTATCATCATCATTATCATCGTCATAAAAAACAACGACTACTACAACCGAAATAAAACTTTACGCAGGTCATTCGGTTTAAAATAAGGGTGTTTGAGCCTGACTTCAAATTTAAGAGCGTGTTGATAGTGATTTATTTTGGGTTTTATGTTGCTGTGATTCATAATTTATGAATGAATTTCAAAAAAATGTAATGGCAAATGTCAGCAAACACATCGTATTTGCGCAACAAATAAACACCAAAATCGCAATCAGCGTCGTAGAGAAGGTGGATCCCGTGAACTGTACTTGTATGCGGGCGTCTGGCTTGGTGGATTTGACCCATGGCATCTTCAGTTCTGTATGAAGTTCTTTTGTGCGCATAAGACAGGTCCGCGAAGCCCGACTGCAGCTGCCTCTGTCGTAGCCAACAAGCGCTAGCCAAGTAGATTTAGAGAGTTTTACGGGACCTTGTAAAACACTCTGAGGGCCTCTCTGGCGTTTGCGCGGTGGTCTGTGTTCACCATGTGTGCGAGAGTGGAGCTGTTGATGTTATTTTATTCGACCCTTTCCTAACCATGTCGGAAGGTGTTCTCCTATTTTTTGGACACAGGCCGGCTAGTGCGACCAATATATTCTGTCCCACTAGAGCAGTTGAAGGAGCAAATACTCATAGATGTGGTCTGAGCTGGTTGTTTGTCCTTACCCTCTCAGTATAGGATGAGATTAATGGAGAACAATACACGGCTGCCAGCTGTTGTCAGCTACTGTTATGCAGCTTGAGTTAGGCGTCTTCTAAAAAGTTCACTTGCCGCCTTCCTTTGAAATTTGACCCCGATTAAGAGCCTTTCCTTTCCTGTCGTCAGCCTTGGCGCCTTTGCTGGACATTCGGTCATGTTTTCAGCAAGTAATCTAGTAGGATATCCGTTCTGGCGCAAAAAGGCCTGGCACGATCTTAAAATCTTCCTCAATGCTATCAGCTGAGCTGATTTTCCCCTCTCCTTCTGTTGAACAGCAGAATCAAATTACGTTTAGCTGTACGAAACACTCAAATTATGTGCATTGCCCAGACCACGTTTTCACATGATAGATGCTACGTCGAATGCTGGCCTCAGACTTTTACTCAGACAGAGGAGTGAACCGAATCGTTTTTCTTCCAGATTGAATTGTATTGATGTACTTGCTTGATTTATATCGTCCAGCAGAAGTGAGGCGTTCATTCGTGTCAGTGCGATTACGAATTTATTATCCACGGACCGTCCATATTACCTCAAACCGTCGATATGGCGACGTAGCTGGAAAGCTTCTAGGTTTCCTTGGAATATATTCGTCAAAGGCAGACCAATGGGTGAGCCCGTTACTACGCCGTCCATCTGTTTATATAGCTTGTAGTCAAATAGGAACTTCACGTATTATGTGCGCCCTAATAGCATTTCCTTGAGGGCGTTCACTGGCATGCATCTATCCTGTTGATTGAAGGCAATGAAAGAACGATACTAGATGACCGTTTTCGTTACCGTTGCGTTCATAAAAAGGCATGGGGCATCAAATGAGAACGTAACGATTTCGTCCACATCTGCCGTTGCAGGCATCCACGGACGCAGGAAATTAGAATGTCTCAACGGCACTTGATAAATGACTCAGAATTCATTGTGGCCGCCGCCAACCAAGTTAGCTACCACTTGATTTAACCAGGCATCATGGTGCTCTCGCATCCTCTTCAAATGACGCCTAGTTGTTTGACCGGACAGTAGCAATTTAATGCGTATATGCCCAGTGAAGACATCTGAAAACGCAGTCTATCCTTGCCTTTCAAGGCGAGACGCGCGGTGTTAATGAAAACTAGACTTGCCTTAGTGGTTGTCTACGTGCGAGAGATACTAGCGTTTAAGAAATGACGCAGAAGGTCATATGCCGATCCCCTAGAAACGCAGTGTGAAAAAATAACTCGTTGTTCACAACCTTCGTATGTATAATTTTTGAAGGCTTCACTTCATGTATTTGTAGGGAAACCTTTCAGGAATGCAAATTCATCGCATGTTCGTATATTGACGAGAACACTATCAAGCCTATCCAGATTCCATATTTTTCCAGCTCGATTGGTATGGTAGTCGACCGAGGCTTATATCTGAATAGTATTTACACAAATGTTGAAATTAGCGTATGTTCCTACCCAGGCTTTCTTACTAACAAAAAACACCATTATGCAGTATCCCATCCGGTATAGGATTACTTAAAATAACTAGAAATATTTGGTTTACCGTTGTCTGTTTACCAAAGTTTGGACCAAAGCTGGGTGATACTGGTTCCCTATATTTAGGAGGGCGTTCAAATCAGAGTTCTTATCCGTTGTTGCCAATAAAAGGTCAGCATATTAAACATATAAATTAGGGTCATTCCTATGTAGACAGGGATGGTTTTTCTCTATTTTAAGCCTTGAAAGCATTGGCCAGTAGAGTTACGAGTGATGATTTCATCACTACGCCGTCGATCCGGTGGTAAAAAAGATCTCCAAATGTAAACGAAACATTTACCATGCAGTGAAACGGCAATTCGTTCAAGATTCCGACCGAAATAACAATCGGGAAAACTTTCCGTAAAGTCTCGCCATACAAACTTTCAATCGTTTTCTCGACAGGACTGCTAGTGAAAGAAAACGGAGCGTCTTAGGACGGAATCTTTTGTTATTCAGAATTATTTCTGTAGCAGAATCGCTGAATTCAATGCTGGCCCGTGTACTATGTGGAGCTACTGTGTGTTAATTCGGCCTGAACCTTTCCGCTAGTCAATTTGCAATATCCGCGAGGCTTTATGCCTTGCCGAAAATTCATAAAGGTGAGTAAGAAAACCCACTTGCTACCTCTCTACTTGCAGCCCTGTCAATACATGGTGAAGCATATAACGTGTTTTACTGAAAGCTTGCAAAGCGGCTGAACATACAAATGTTTAGTAACAACAGTAGCGTATATTTACCATAAGCATGTATTTAAATATATCAAAACACAAACAGGAGTTAAACCATAATGCATTTTCAATGCATCAACGTTTTCATTATAGCTGGCAAGAGACAGAGTAGGAATTTCCATGGCTTTAGATGGTGCACTCCGCTGAAGGCAACACGAATCGTTGTGGGGATAGGATCTGAAACATCCGCTGGAACCAGTGTTATAACCTGAGAGAGGGAATCCGAATACACGACTTTGAACTCCATCGGTGTGCTTTCAAGTCTTCCGGTCAGGACAAGAATAGGCGCGTCCTTCATGGCGTCGTTGACTGTTGGTTATCGGAATAAGCATTATGTGAAAAATTTGATGTTGAATTGGAGAGCGCGCAGTGTAAGCATCGAAACCAAAGAAATACATTTTCTGTTAGCCAAGGTATGCTTAATTTACGGTCTTTTTTTCTCGATATTGATATTGTGATCTGACTATCTGTGTGAAACACAACGAATATTCAAATCGATGCTGTTATCGTCGGTTGTCCACGATGCACTGAAGTTTTACCTATTTTCTTATTGTCTGCAATCATTTTACTTCAATAATTTGCTTACAATATGAAGAAAGTACCAATAATTTTTGAAATTGTCATTTGGTTGTCGTTTACATTATTGTCTTATGTGTTTATCAGTGTATTTTATGTTTTCATATAAAAATTTGTCAAAAAGTTTATACGATTCAAAACAGAAAATCTCAACCGCGACTTTGTGTATAAAGCATATATAGTAGGTGACTACAGTCCCAACTTACGATATGGGGCAAGGTAGAGGTGTTGTTGCGTAGTCGGATAATCAGGGGACATGAACGCCATATTTTCACCAATTAATGTGTTTTGAAATAACAATTAATTAGAAGAGTTGAAGCAAGAAAATGTTTTTTGGACTCCAAATGTAACTCGAGGACTTCGATATAATGTTATTATGCCAACTTATTTTGCATACCTGAACTCTGTTAGTATACCAAATATACCCTGGTGCCCGATCTGTCGTATCCAGTTCAATCCTTTCAGTCACGCCAACGCCTGCTGGGATTGAGGGGTCTGTGCCACAAATATGTTTACTGAGATTCGCAATGTACAGGCGATCAATATCCATTCAAAATGACAATTAATATACCATTGAAAGTTCATGAAATATTAGACTACGCCTCGAGCAAGTGATCCCCCAGCTTACTGAAATTAACATTGGTAAAACATTTGGACTGCCAACTAGACGAATTTAGTGGCTGATATTTAAAGTTTTCCGCAATTGGCCTAATGACTATTGAGACCACGAACGTTCATGCATTTCTGACTCAACATTGAACGTCTACTTCTCAGTATAGAGGACCAAGTTTAAGGAAGGTGAATAGAACGTATACATAATAAATGGTAGACATAAATATTATTCTGGAAGCTGGGCTGGACTAAATTACTCCGCATTACTCCGCACAGAATGCGCCCAACGCAAAATATATCACTAAAGTCCGGCTGCATGAATTTAAACATAGAACAGCATAATTCCTAACGACATAAATAACGTAAAACAGAAAAACTAGGTTGTCTACCAGCTGAAGTGTCTCCTTTATTCTGGACAATTATTGCTGATGGCGATTTAAGTTTGTCTTCGGGAAAGGAGACGATGATTCCCTTTCCAGCAGTAGGAGATAAATAAACTAATGCGTACTCGCGTGCTGAAAAGCGGCAAAGGAAATCATCTTGGGAACCGGATAAATAAAACAATAAACAAATTCAAAACATAAACGGCTGCATAAAACAAATGGCATCTTTAAAAGCTTGCAATTAGGGGGAGATAAAAGAATGATTTAGATGTCCTGGGAAGGAGGTCCATTAGAAGAATTGTGCTCACCTGTAAATAACTGATAGCATGACTGCCCTATTTTACAGGGTTTGGAGATAGATCCCTGTCGAAGTGGCGCATTCTCATGCAAGACCGACTGAATTATAATACAGTGTCAAATTACGTAGAACGAAAATTATCAGCATACCAATTCGACAGAATGCGCGGCTTACTTTTGGTGTCAGAAGGCTCAAGAGAGGAAAATTAAAGGCCGTATTCGGAGCTAACCGCAATACGATATCATGAGGCCTGTAATGAAAACAATGAGTGTTTATATTAGAGAGTTATCATATTCGTTTATTTTTGATCTTAATCAGAGTACAGGAAAAAATCGGGGTAGGCGACGATGGTTCCAATTTCAACATTTTGATATCCAGTGAAAATTGCATGATCTCTCTCTCTAAACCACTAAAATGAACCAGCTTGGCAACCGAACAAACTTAGAAATAAACAAACTCAATGACCTTTTGAAAAGGCTCTATTTAGGGAAACGTAAATAAATGTCTTAAGAGGTCGGATAATTAGAAGTTTATCACTTGTTAACAACTAAAAACATGGCTCACCTGATTCACAGGACGAGGAGGTAGATCTCCCTTGAATTTCCGCATTCCCATGCAATTCCGACTGCAATGTAATAAAAGTGTCATATTCCACAGTAAAACGAATATCCGCGCAAAAATCCAAAAAGAATGTACAGCTTACTTGCCGCTTGGGTATGCCAATAAAAGGCAAAGTGATGTTTAGGTTTGGCGCTAAATTCAAAACTGACACATCGGCGCCTGTAATGACGAAAAAACTGTTTGCTTTCAGATAGGTATCGCATACGTCTCTTTTTTGACCGTAATCAGAGACCACAAACCAAATATTAGAATATTATTTCAACATAAAACCTACCGTGCACACAGGCAAAAAGGACAGGAAGTATGCTGGCGATGAGCATGCTTACTAAAACAAAATTAATCAGGAAGTAAGACAAAAATGGTATGTTCACTATCGGGTTATACTCTCAGGGTAAATTACGGCTGCCGCTTACTTTGAAGTGCAAACCTTGCTGGTACAGGCGAATTCTCCGTGTATTTATATGTGCATGCGTGTCAAAGGAGATATGCAACCTACGACGATCGACGGTTAGAATTCAAGGCACCATTTTGGCGTGTGTGAGTACACTGCGTTCATATCGATCATCTCAGTGGTAGGAGTAAAACGTGTTTAAAAATAGAAAAAAATGCAAATTTGAGAGTATTGCCAAGACCGTTAACTATGATTGATCATTTTAAACGCATTTCTATCACCAAATAATCATTTGCTACGGGATGCCGGATGGGTATGCCTATTGTGTTTTAATACAGCGACTGACCGATCTCATGAAGTGTTGGCCGGAATTCTGAAATGCGTTTTTGATAAGGAAAGATAACTTAGGCGCGGTTGTAACACTGACTATCGATTAGCATAATCTTATAACACTTCAGACACGGCAGGATATCTGCTTTCAATTTACTTCTTATCTTTCTTCCGTAGAAACCGTACTCGGTAATGAATGAGTACTTATGTAGCATGCATTTTTCCAATAATGTTTATTGGTATTGCAAATTCAAAAATATTTCATAAAAACATGGAAAAAATACTTTATTTTACTAATTTGATAGAGAAACACTTCATCTTTTTATTGTTTACTTGAAGAAGGAGCATAATTAGATTTTTTCTAATTTCCGAATATGTTGGGGCGTGAACAGCCTTTGAATTGGTTCTAAGTGATTTCATTCTGCAAGGTTCATAAGTACCGTTTATGGATTATCATATATTTCTCTATGCTTTGCAAAGATACCTTATGAGAGGCTGTTCATATCCGTTTGACCTTAGTAAATATACTTCACTCCACCCCGAATAATGAATAAATCTTGACAATGGAAGGCACATTCACAGGTTTTTTGCAACTGCATTAATGTTTACGCCTAAATCCTAAATAAAACTTGTCATCAAAAGGGGAAAGATCATCTAACTTGGTCACATTTCAGGTCCACCTGATGTTTGTACATAATGCCCCCGGTTATTGACAATGCCATAGTTACACTGAGCGACCGATATGATTGCTGGTCTGAAAAGACGTTTAGCAGACGATGTATTATTTGATTGATGTCGCACATCTCAAACCTTCTTCCGGGATCGACCTATCTGAGATGGCTGCCGAACAAATGCGTGATGGTTTACCCTGTGTCGAGGACGTTTACGGACTCAGACTTTAGGAATTACCACTAACAGCTGGCAACAACACCAATTTATACGATGTATTCACCCCTTTCCATTGTCCATTTGTGCCCCCATCCCTCTGTCGTAAAAGTTTTCTCCTCCCTACACAGTGTCTTTCACCCTGGGAGTCCAGCAACCGACAAGCTTGATTCCGACGGCTTCGTGTGGCCCGGGATGCATAAGGGCATCGACGCATGGACACAGACTTCTATCGGCTGTCAACGGAGTAAGATCCAACGGCACAACAAAGCTACCATTGGCGCCTACCCTACTCCGGACGCACGGTTTAATCCTTATCATCCGAACATCGCAGGCCCCCTGCCTCTCTCCAATGGCTGTTCCTATCTGCTTACCTCGTGGATCAATTAACCCAGTGGCCGGAAGCTATTCCCCTCCCTGATGTTGCTGCTCCATTGGTCGTCAAGGCTTTCCTCAGTCGTTGGGTTGTCGTTTTCTGTGCACCCTCCACTATCAAAAGATGAATATGCGATCACCGGAACAAGAAATTTATTTGCCTGACGTTTCGGATGCTTACTCGAATCCATCATCAGATACAAAAGAAGATAAAGGTGATTGTGACACCAGGAGTGCAGTATTTATAGCACATGGTTGCCGTGGGACCGCATGCGCACTGCAATTATCAGTTCTCGTAATCACCGCTGGGGCCGTAATTGATGCGGTGGTGGCTTGTCGGTCCGAGTCCGAGTCGTTAATTGCCGCGATTTCGTCATCCGTGCTGGATGCTGGTGTGACGATTGCTCGGGAAACTGGCTCACTGTCACCGTGATGATTGCTGGCCCGCGACCTCTCCACGTGACTGATTCTCCTGGCCAGGGAAAATCGCAGTACGGTATAAGATACCGGGAGGTCTATGTGCTTATTGATGGATCGCGGGCCTGAGAAACATGACTCAAGCAGCTCGCTTGGTGATAGGTCGTCGCCACCGGTCCCACGGCAGCCACGTGCCATAAATACTGCACTCCTGGTGCGACAATCACCTTTATCTGCTAATGTCTCTGATGATGGATTCGAGTAAGGATCCGAAATGTCAGGCAAATAAATTTCTTGTTCCGGTGATCGCATCTTCATCTTCTGAACTGCTACCTGGAACTCGTCTGTTCGCTTCTATGACTCTCCATTATTACGACTGACCGTGGTGCCCAGTTTGAGTCTAACTGCTTACAGTCCCTCCTCTCCTTTTTAGGCTGTACCCGCATCCGGACGACAGTCTATAACCCGGCTGCTAACGGGATGGTCGAGCGGTTTCACGTCCAGCTATAGGCCTTCATACGCGCTGCGGCTGATCCGGAGAACTGGACAGACTACCTTATCCTGATCCTGTTGGGCATCCGATCTAGCTCTCAAGCCGCAGTTGAACTGGTGATCTACGCAATCGTCCGACTGCCCGATGAGATGATCTCGCCAACCACGCGAGGTGCAGCTGAGGATTCCCCCAACCTCCTGCAACGCCTCCGGAAGTTTATGCGGAGGCTTTCCCAGGTCCCGCCCAGGTCATCCGTCTCCGAGCCTTACCTCAACAAAGACCTGGCGACATGCTATCACGTCTATCTCCGATGTGATCGAGTCCGCCGATGCCTGGAACTACCGTAAGACGGTCCCCTCCCGAGCTATCTCTCGTGGGACGAAGAGCTTCCGCTTTCGACGCGGAAATCGCATGGCGCTCGGTAGCGTGGACCGTCTGAAAGCTGGCATCCATGACACTCCTGCGCATGAGCCCAGTGGTTAGACGGAGGGTAGTGTGACAGATCGCGTCTTCATGTCCTCAGCCTTGGCAACTCTGCATTCCTGTCCGCTGCACACTCCTTGTCGATACGTTGATGGGACACGCGAGGCTTGGTACCAGGCTCGCCAGTGCTGCAGGCCAATCAACGCTGTCCCCCTCTGATTGGCTGGCGGACGCGGAGACAACGAAAGGCGCACATACGCGCTGGGTCTCAGTACCTCGAAGGCGGACACAGACAACAACTCGCCTGGAGAGCGCGCTCGCGGCGACTGCCTACAGGGCCTTTGCGTACGCACTTCCATAACAGTGAAGGTTGTCCAAATCACTCTGTCTTCCCGGACTTTTGATTGGGAATCTTTGTCTTGTGGACCTAAGCACTTTCGACATACGTGGTTGCAATGCAGTAATCTTTATTTATCCAGAATTTCTCATCACTCTGTCAAATGCTTTATGTGACAAGCGCCTACGCTCTAATCGCCTCTTTACGTCTGTCGACTAGTTACGCATTTTTGAGTATAATATGGTTGTAAAAGCTTATTAAACTCGACGGAGAACATATATGAGCTCATTATGTTTGGCATTGCTGTTCTGTGAGATTGAAATATTCCAACTACATGCACGTGCATAGATTTTACAGTACCTGTTTTGCCCAACAATAGACAAAATCCGCAAATTTGCTTTTTGTTTTCATAATATATTCTAATTCACAATGATGTCAGATTGCCGTCCAACTTGATGGCTTCATCGCCGATTTTGACGTTGTCCCCCATGTGTCCGTCTTTAGAGTGAACCCATGGACAAAATCATGTATGACAATTATTTTATAGTGGTAGTTGACTTGCGCTATATTCCCTTAATTCTTAGAGTTGTAGATTTTGCCCTACATGGCAACCACACGCCTAGCGATATCTCTCCTTGCAAAAGATTATTGCATAATACCCTGTTGTCCATTCGTACGGAATGGCGGTACTATTGTGATTGCAGATGCGCTAGCATGGTGTGAACGCTGAACATTATGGTTAACTGGAAGACCTCCATATCTGGGAACCTTCCTGTCCGACTCAATCATAGGATTCTTCCAAGATAGCTGAAATGACAGTGATTTTGCTAGGCGGTACAATTATACCATTCGTTGAATAACGTTGTCAAGATTGTCACCCTGAGCATGTAAGCTTTGTACCGCGTCGAAGTTTGTTATGATTCAAGACAGATACCAACTGTTGATTGAATGCGTGAGTGGCCTTGAAGTTACTTTCTCTTCATGATTATTGATTGTCATGCACCATGAGTTTTTCGCATGAATGAACTTAATTGTTTACTATTTTAATTTGGACTAGAGGTGTTTTGTATTTATCGCTGAATGACTACTGGCGCGTCCCAGTTGGTGTGGGCTGTCCCCACGAGGACAGTCACGTCAGAAGAACCAACTGGCTTGTAAGCATGTAGACTTGCAGCTCTTTGCTTAAGTTATTTGATCACATCGTTAAATTTAGTCATTTAAGATTTGCACACGCGCTGACACTGGTGCACCAGTGACCATTATCTGAACAGAGATCTTGGAAATGACAGATGGGTCCTGTACGCGATGATAAGCATGCAGTAGAATGCAGGCATTTTGAAAGGAAAATGCAACGACTGCAGACGTTGTCCGTATACGTGCTCAAATATAATTCTCTCATCATACTTGTTTGCAACGTCACATAAAAATCTCCGGATCAGTTTGTTCTTTATATCTCAATGTTTCCAATACGAAGTTACTTCTTCATGCTGCTTCATTTTTCTCCGGTCCGTGCAACGATGAATATTGACATGTCATGTAATGAGATTACCTCGATTCATGCATTTTCCACACATAGGCTGCATATTCGGATGTGTGCTTTTGGAGAATCAAAAAAATTGCTTGCATGAGTTTAAAACCTAAATCTCAAAAATCGAAAGATGGCGAAAAT